CCATAAACTTCAAAGAATCTTTGCAATGTGAATTTCCCTGTTTCTGGGAGTCAGTTTTCAAGATAAACGTGGGATCTTTCAAAGACAGAGAGATAGGTATCTATAGGTACTAAGGTACAACTGGCATCTTTAGAAGCAGCAGTATTTTCTTCTAACTTTGTGATAAAATCCAAACAGATGGTCAAGCAGAGCAGAAGACCTGTTCAGCATGAATAATCCTGTGACTTTGCTGTTAAGCAGCTATAGATGGGCATATATTTACAAATTGCAGTGACACACAGCACAGTTGTAGTGAGTAGTGAGTGCTTGGCTGGTGGAATTCACTTTTTGACCTATTTTATCTTAAAACAATTTCAAGACTTTAAAATAATAATCTAAAAAACTGTGCTTATTTAGGGGATGTTCCACTGTTCTAGCAATTAAAAATGGGAAAAGTAGGATTGATGAAGTATTTTAATGCTAACAACTGAATGTAAGTACAATTGCCAGGGCTATCTGGAAGTGAAGGAACTGTGAGCTGAAGACCTGTGATCTTCCTGGTGGAGTGGGAACAGCTTGGCAGCATCTTTCTTAGTTGAGATCTCCTGAGGTTTGGAGATTACTTCAATGGGTATAGTTACTCCTCCAGACAAGGGACATCCTCCCTCCACAAACACATTCACATGAAATACCAGATGAATCTCCCTGCAAGTTCATTTACTGTGCAACTCCACAAACACTTATGTCAACACTCCCGAGGGAGCATTGCAGGGGCAGGAGATGCTGTGGGGGAAGGAGATGATGGGAATTCCACTGCCATGACATTGCAGGAATATCTATTGCTATTGTTGTTCCAACAGTTGGGTCCATCTGAAGTTTAAGATAGAACCAGGTCATATTTAAACAGTTTAGTCTGTCCAGTCCATGTGGCTGTTTCAGACACATTTTCTGTTTTTCCTCCTTTTCTTATGCATCTTAATACCACTGCTAGAGTAGCAAAGCCAGGATGAGATGTAATGGGACAGCATTCCCAACAGACATTCCCTGTGAATGGAGGACTTAACTCCTCATCTGCAAAGCCAGGACTTGCAGACACCTTAATCTAATTTTAGCTGCATTGTCTCAGTTAAGAAATAAAACTGAAAAAACACTTTTGGGACTTCAAGCTGCCTTATCCTACTATAAAATTAAATGAAGACTAAGTTAACAAAAAAGTCCTTTTTTCCCTTTCTTGTAACATTTTTCCATTGTCTACAATTAAGTAGCACCCTAAAAGAAGAACTTTTGATGCAGCTTCTTATGCAATACCCATCTACACCATGTCTGTAATTCTGCTTTCAATGGAATTTGTCTCTCCAAAAGCAGTGACATCTCCATCTCTCCCTGCCAATATTGCCCCCAACTTGTTGACTTGCTTCAACTTGCTTTTCAGCTCTTCTGAAGTATGTTCCAGGTTCCCATGGTCATGAAGGCAGTCCATCAATCTCCCCCTCCAGCACTGAACACTAACCCTTTTTTTTTTTTTTTTTTAAATCTCACCACTGTAACAGGATTCAAGAAATTAATTTGCAGTTAGTGAATCTAAACATACTCCAGTCAAAGGGTTTTTTCTCCATGAATGAGTGTGAAGCATTGTCTACTAACTGAGCCAAATGACAAATAAATAACCTTTGTTTTTGTAAAGTGTAAAATGCCAGCAAAATACTACTTTTCAGCTCTTTTTGAAAGCTGTAATTTTTACCATTGGTAGAAACTACTATAAAGCAGAGCCCATGAAAAAATCTGCACTCTGTGACATCCCTATTAATAGAGATATTTCTGTGCTCTACATGTAACATCCTCTGGCTTTCTGCTCTGTTTCTGCTTCACTTCCAATTCTTCCTTCCTGTCCCCCTCTTCTGGTTCCACATTCTCCTCTGGGATTATCCAAAAATCTTGCCAAATGCAGGAAATGCTACTGAAATGCTGCTGACTGCCAGGAGCCAGCTTCAGTCACAGTCCTTCTGAAGATTAAACTGAATAAGGTCTTGTTTTCAACTCTGAGTGGGCCCAAACTGTCATTGTAGTCATCATAGATTTGAACCTCAACACAGAAACACACAATCCTACCCAGGCTCAACACCTGAGTCATGTTTAAGCTACAGCACATCAATGCTGTAGCTCTTGGAAGTACCAAGACAAGGTCATCTGCTCTCTGATGAGACAAGTCCTTACAGCAAGAGCCTGGGAAGGCCCTTTTATGCACTATATACTGATGCAAAGACATGTAATTCATGCAGCCTCAAATTAAATTGTAAAAGTGAAACAATCCAAGTCAATCACACTCCAAAGTAGCTATTTATGCACTTCATTACTGAGGATTTTTAAATAAGTCATATAGATATTTCCCTATTAACAGCATTAAAATTACTCTTGACAAGCCCACATCCATTAATAGTCTCCTGTCCTATTCACAAGGATATGATAAATCAGCATAAGTCTGAATTACTTAAATAATGGGTTATATAAGTAAGCAATTACAGAAATATTTACTCAAATCTAAGTTTCAAATATCTTCCCTCTTTTCTATACGTATTCATAAATGCAAACTACATATATGAAAGCAAGGGCAGAACTAAGTCCCAGATCGAGCAGCTGTGCCTGACAATGTGAAATCAACTTAAATAACCAGATGGTACACACTGAGTCCCCATACATAGAAGAGACAAAACCAATGGTGGCTAATCTGCAACATCTTAAAAAGAAAAAAATCTCAAACTAAATAAAAAGGCATCTTTAATGCCTATTTTTCATTAAAAATGCCCCTGTTCTATGCAAACACAAATTGTCTTGAACTGAATAAATAAGCTCAGCTGTGTTGTGCAATGATTCCATTAACCCTGCACTCAAGCATTAAATTAAATTGACTTGTTTGGATTTCCCTGCTGCAGGGGAAAATGTACCTTGTAAGGTCTGTGCTTTACATTATCCGAGCCAACGAGTAAAAGCTTCCCAACTTTTACAATGAATAACAGAAGAAACTAAACAAGTAAGCAAATTGCAAAAATTCCTCTGATAGCTTTTTAATGATTAACCTTACACTCAAAGGTTCATAGCCTTTCACATTCATTTTCCCATGCATTCAATTAACAACTGCTTTGAACAAGTTAAATTTAATCTTCATGCATTTCCTAGCTGTACCACTAACGCAGAACTTCTGCTTGTCTCAACTCACAGGATGAAGAAAGAGATTCATTACTGCACCATTTCATTCAACTCCTTTTCTTCTTTGTGCCAATTTTCCCTGGCAAACTGCTCATCAAGCTAACATCCATTTTTTATTGAAGCTGCACATAATGATCACCCAGCAACCAAAGAGAAGCTATTTTTAAATAGGACCACTGTCCTATCTTCAAAAAACTGATTTCCCATGTAGGGTGAGTAAGTTTGCATTATTAATAGAAAAGACTAAACCAAAACAACATATAATAATGTCACCAACTCTGAGACCATGGGTAATTTTTCTGTGATCCTGTGTTGCAGCTTAACTGCCTGACATATAGAGTCTTCATTTTGTCTCAAGTCCCCTCCATGCAAACTGAAATAATAATTTTCAAAGCTGAAACAATTGACAGAAACTAGGGGTTGTATTTCAGGGTGTCACAAGCCTATTCTAAGTAGAGTATATTTAAACACACAAATGATCTTTCTTGTCAAATGTATGTAAATGGTCCCCACGGGTGGTGTCTTCAGGAAGGGATCTTGGCAAAGAAAATGTGAGAATAATTCACATGCCAAAAAAAAAGTGTTGCAAGCATAGAAAATATTGGACAGGAGAAGAAGTCAGTGAGGAGGAATGTATCACTAGCTCTCCAGAAGGCTGACTGTTACTTCAATAATTATATCATTTATATTAGAGCAATTCTGTATTGTAAACAGAAAGCTTCTGTTAATGTGGCAACATTCAGAAGCAACAGGGGTGGATGATGCTCAGTGAGTCTTCAGTTGCATCACCAGGTGGCAAGGGCTTCACCCGCAGGCAACCAGGAGCCAGCGCTGTTGGCTGAGTGGGTTTCAGGTTGCAAATTTCAGAAACAGATATGAGCTCCTGAAAAATCCAGGCATATTTTACAACTGGCAAGCATATGTTGACTTAGTAATTGAAACTGAGCTGACATTCTCTGAGAGGTTTTGGTTCTTTTGTTTAGATTTACCATCCTACTCTTCACTAATAAGAAGAGAACACTAAAGCAAATTTGGCACGGCTTGCTTTGAAAAGCAAGTAATCCTTGGTAATCCATACATCACTACCATGAATGTATCACAGTCGTATCAAACTCTGTGAACTGTATTATATTCCAGGAAAGACTTATCAATAACAAAATGAGTAAAAATGTTTAGTTCAGAAATTGGTTCACACCTGTTACTCAAAATCCATATTTTATACTCGGGGGCCCCTCAGGGAAGGGGAAGGATAGAGTTCACTTGCTACATCAGCAGTAACACTCATCAGGCTTTGGGTTTGGAAGGGAAAAAGCAGTTATAGGCTGATGCCATTAAAAGCAAATGCATTTAACTCATTTATCTCAGCTCTAACAGAATATAGGTCTCATTACTGTCCATCTCCCTGGTTTCCTTTATGACTGCACTCCCAAAAATTATGGATTTCTAGTTCCCTAAATCTTGATCTTTGGCCTTGACCGTTCACACTGGATCACCGGACTTGGAAGAAGCAGTAGAAAGGAGTGGAGAATTAGGTCTTTTATATTTCAAACACTATTAAAGTTCTATATTTTCTTGTGTTGTGCCATGTCCACAAAAGCCCAGATGAGATTTCAGCAGAGCATTCAGAAGACATAAAGCCAGCATTTCTCCTGACACCTCTGTGAACATCCAACCTAAAATACTCAGGAGACGCTCAAGTCCACGTATTCACTATCTGCATTCCTGAAGCTATTTAATCATAGGGATCCAATATGCATTAGATAAAGCAGGAATCCAAGGTGCTATCAGATGAAAGTGTTTGCTGGTTGAGCCCTTACCTGTCAGCATCTCCGAGCCCCAGGGACGTGTTGCGCTGCACGGTCTCCCGCACGGCAGCCATCCCGTCAGGCAGCCGGTTCAGCCTGCGAGTGTAGAGGCCCAGGCCACCATCAGTCATATACCTTTAAAGCAGCAGAACAAAATGCCATGTTTAGCAAAACACAAAAACTTCTACATATTACTTTTTAACTCATACCTTCTGCTTGATTTTAACCGTATATTCCAGTTTCCCCAGTTCAAGTTAAGGATATTGCTCAGAACACGAATAAAAAAAAACCTTCTTCTTTATTAGATCAAAGATACTTTTTTGCCTCTCATTGTCCATTGCATCTTGCACATTCACCAAAAAGAATGGAATTTCAACATAACCGCAACAAAGGAAGAATACATAACTGTCATGAAGAATGCCTAGGTGGAAGTAATTTAATATTTGCTAATGTTATAATTTATTATCCCTTCCTGTCCAAAAAAAATGCATGGTTATACCATCCCGAACAGTCTCATGTGGGCTAAAACAGCACGATGGAAATCTCAATGCTTTTATGACTCAACTGCAAAAATCACATTGAATTCATACTAGATTTTGTCAGTGGTCTGTGAACAATGACCCTGAGGCATCTGCATTTAAAGTGTTACTATTCTTAGATAGTAAGAATACCAAATGTAGACTTACTTCACAAATTACTAAGATAGCACATTTATTACTTTCTAGCTTAGATAAATGAAAAATGAATGTTAGAGTGAACAGAGACAACACTTGTTGGACAAGAATAGATAGACATTAATCACCAGGAAGAGTTCCTCAAATGATGCAACTTCAGGATAAGGTGGTTAACTAAAAAAAAATAAGTTTTAAAACCCATAAAACTACCTACTACTTTGGTTCAGTTTACAAATAAAATATTTTAATATATTAGTACTGAAATTAAGAAGTTACTCCAGTCTTCCCTTCTACTCGGTGAGTAGCTTCTCACCGAGCTGCTCTACATCAATATCTAGGCAACCTCTTGAAATATTTTGTGGCCTTTCACAACAATTGCAGGTAAACATGTTCAAAGTGTTAAAATACAACAAGTTCAAAGTGTTAAAATACAACTGGAGGCTTTTTTTCTTAGTTTACATTAATTTCTACAAGTATTTCCATGTACAGAAACCTGCAAGCATGGAAGAAAGGTAAGTTCCATTTGCCTCTCAAGATGTTGGCATGGAGCAAGCTCTGTGCCACCACCACCCCCCATTTCTCAGCCCAGGTACATCTACAGGAGCAGTACCAACAATTGTGTAACCACACCATAAAAATTTCCACACCCTTGAGACTGAAATAAGTCTAGCAAGAAGCAATAAGATCACTGTCTCTGGCATATCCATGGACACATACCAGACCTCGCTGAGTTCAGAGGTGGTAGGGTTGTAGCCTTTTAATCCCTTTTAGCCACTCTGAGCAAATCAACAGCAGCCCACAGAATAACATCCAGCTTCAGAGGACACCTTCCTCTTCCTTAGCAAGGCACAGGGCTTTTTCCCTACCAGCAAGACGCCCTCATCCACAGCAAGAAGGGACAGCTGCTCCGAGCTGCAGGCAGCAATGTCTCTGCTGGCGAGATGTTACTGCAACAGATGTGCTGTACCCAAGTGAAATTCGATTACTGCATTTATAAAAATGGGATGGTAAAGAGGGAGGAATCCTTGCACAACCTGCTGCTCAGTGTTGCAGTTAGTTAGAGGTATAAATCTGTACAGAGTCTCTCTGGGGAGTTTAACAAAGAGGTTGCCAAGCCACTCAAGTCAGACACAAGAGTATTCGCTGTTCAGCAAATCTGTGGGGACACGATTCTCCAAACTCATAAACAAAAGACTGTAAACAGCAAGAGCAGAATAGTTGCACACTGCTACACATGTGAAATTTGCCTTAGGTCTTGCATTCTAACTTGTGTTTCACATAGTTTATTAATATTTTATCGTGGAAGAATATACTTTTCCTTAAGCTACTAAAATATATGAAAGGGAAAGAAAAGAGGAGCTTAAAACCATATAATTATACAAACACACAAACAGCATCTCGCAAAAACATCTAATGTGCATATGCTAATTGCCTCCCTGCAGATACTTGTCTGCACATGAAACATGTTTCTGTATGAAAACCCATTGTGTGTGTACTGGGAAATGCAGCTTTTGGCTTTGCTGTCAGAATTCTGGCATAGGAGTAGCCCTTTGATAAGAAAGATCAACTACAGTTGAAATAGATTATCCTCTATATTCATTACCCAGAATATGTGAAATGAAACACATTACTTGTAAGAATTAACCTTGCTGAAATCATGGAAAGGCTCCTTACTAACACCAACAGAATCCATCCTTTACAGAGAAGCTCAGGAATCAGATAGATTAGAATAATTCTGCAACTGCATCAAACTTAAAACCAGTTTTCATTGGATTTAAGCTCTCATAAATCTTAGAGAAGTCAATGAAAGCTGGATGCCTCTGGCATCTTGAACAAGATTGTGAGTTGTTCTAACCAAGACCCTGTAAAAAAGCACAGACATAGACAACGACTTTTACCCACTGCACCAATAGGACATGCCAGAACAACACAAGAGAGAGTTTTGTATTTTGAAACAGGTTTGTGTAATCACAGATTGAAAGCTTTATATCTTGCTTTTATTACATGCAATGTCCTCTACCCAGGTATTTCTAATTCCAAAAAGATGCCAAAAGCAACGATGCCTGTAGTCCTGCATGCAACACTGAGGTGAAAGAAGGGGAAGCACTGACCTCTAAATTTTGTAAAGAAAAATGTGTTTATGATAAATCCTTTTAAAATCGATGAAAAAATCAATTCTCTACTATCCATTCGTTAGTCTGGAGGAGGTAACAAGTTACTGGTGCCACAAACCTCCAGACATTGATTTCTTCTCCTTCCCCTCCATCCCTTCAAACTTGAAACAGTCTTGGCTCTCAGAAGCCATCTTGCTTTTATAAATACAAATTGCTGCTGGGGTTTTTTGCTGTATGACAAAGTAGAGTATCAGGAAGGCATATTTTGCTAAAGACAATCTTGCAAGGGATGAATAAAACCAGGAAATACTGTATTTCATGTGTATAATTCTACTAGACCCTCAATTAATTGTCCTATCATACATCTACTGGTATTCAATCCTTTCCTATAAAACAACCCATTGCAATCTAAATTATTGTATTAGGCCAGTTATTTATTAGGTATAATTTATTTGACTTTTCTTATTAAAAATCATGGCAAATTTGTACTAGATGCCTTGATAGATTCATGAGTTATAACAACTCTTTTGCACATTTGCTGCAAAAACAAGCACTTCAAAGTCTTTTTCTAGCTGCTCTAAAATAAGAAAAAGTTTAAATATGTGATCTGGGTAAGAGTGTAGTGTCCAGACTCTGGGACTTCCATACAGATGGGTGAATTCCATATGTTAAAAAAAAAATTAGCTCAGATGCTTTATGGATGGTACCAACAGCCAACTGGGAATGACTGCCTTTAATGAAGTCAAACATAATGAATGGACAGTGAGACAGTGATGACATTGGTTAAAAGGAGTTGCTAATTTTTTCAGGAATTAGTGCTTAATACTCATCATCTCCATAGGTTCACTCTTCATCAGCAAGGAAATAAAATTAACCAAACTACTTTTAATATGAAAAGACTCAGGTCAAACAAGAGCAGTATTGTGCACTTCTAACACACAACTGGCACTTACAGCCCACTTTCTAGGTGACACATCTTTCCTGTAAGAAAGTGGCTCCCTGCCCTGTAGTACAGGCATAAAGTAATTTACTTTGGAGTTCCCTGGACAGCCTGGACCTTTAAGCTGCTCTTTTCTTTAGCCAAACACACCCTTTCTGTGCCTCTGAAACTTTGAATGCTGTAATAAGTCCTTCCAAATGTAGTAATTTTAGAACACTTCTGATGCTGATGTGATTTATTTCCCCTTCCTGAAAGTCATGAAACAGGAACGGGTTGTTCCAGGGATCAGTAAAATCCAGCAGTCTGAGTAACTTCTGTCCATGCTCCCTACTTACCCATGTGTACAGCCAGCCAACTGCACACCAACTTTCACGGTCTGACAGCTCTACCACCTACTAGATATTCATTTCACTCCTTAATGTATGAATATTCATTTTCCAGTTTTGAAAAGAGATACCCAAGGGATGGGCATTCTTCACTTAGGCATTAGGAAGAGAAGGAGCAGCAGGTGAGTCAGCAGCACTCAACAGATTGGGCAAGTCTACCCTGATCTGCTTGGCATCACATGGCTCCCTAATCCCAAGCCCACAAATAGGAAAGAAGCAACATGCCCCAAAATGGGAGCTGACTCTGGCAGCCCAGGTTTTCCTGCCTTCTTCTTGGTGCTCTTAACTCCAAGGTTACTTTGGAAATAGCTGGTCAGGTGCTTCCTGGCAGAAGACTGGCCCAGCTATCCAAGTGCTTGAAACCCAAAGAAACAAAAGAGCTTCCAGCAATTACAGCTTTTGGATTCTTCTATGCATCAGCTTGGACACTCAGAAGTGTTCTCTTTTAGCTGCAGCAATAACACTGTTGTCCTTAATGTTTTCCTTTAAATGTTTATTTTTCATTAGGCTTCACCTGCCTCGTCATTAGTCAGTTAAACGAGATCAAGAGCCTTAACAAGCTTTGCGTATCAAAGAAGGAGTCTAACTTTGCCAGTCACTAAAATCCCCCAACAGCAGAAAGCCCTCCACTGCTGTTGCTGAAATACCACAAATGTAATCAAAACGATCCTGCTTTTGCAACCAGGGATTTGCTCTAAATGTGACTTTAAAAGAAATGCTAACAGCAGGATCATGACAACCCCAAACTTCTCAGGTTAGGATGAATTTGGCCTGCATTTTCCATCATGGTATTGGAATTAGACTATATGATCTTTCCCCATGTTTTCCCCCAAGTCCTTCCATCCATTACTCTTGCCTGACCACTCACTGTTACAACACCCACCACTCTGGCAAAGCACTTTGTGTCTCTGACCAAAGGGTTGAACATATATCCCATCTACAAGTCCATGGATGGTTTAATTCCATTCTTTGATCCATGTGAATGTCAACGAAGACATTCAGGACCAGGATTAGGGTCCGA